TTTTTTCCCCCCCCCCCCCAACACAAATGCTTTTTACTCACCCTACTGACCTTCAGATACCTAAAGAAAAAGGTTTCAGCACTGTAATCTTTCCAAAGGACTCCTAAGAGAGAGTTAAGGTGCAACTATATAGAAAAGTCCTAGTGCTTTTAAATATATAAAGTTCAAAGCCGTACAGTGCCATTACTAATTTAAGTGTGGTAAGGAAAATAACTTAGGCTAATGTAAGTTACTTTTGTATAAAAATAATTCTGTGCAAGCTGGGGGTTGTACCCAGGTAACTGTCTCTGGAGTATTTTACCAAAATGGTAATAGTAGTACAGTTTTTGGCATAGACCAGATCTTTTATGGTTGTATGGTGTGATCTAAACCAGCCCATGGAGCCCTGCCATCCAGACCCAGCAGGAGCATGGCATAAGGTTGGATCCTACCCAAGGACCCCCTCCTACCTCTCCTCCCCTTTTCCCCAGTGTACCTGATTTGGCACCTGCTCCAGCTGGCCTGGGACCTGCGCAGTGTGCAAAATAGATTCAATAGACATTTATGCTTTATTTTAAGACAAGTGTTTTATGAGGGAAAAAAACCCCAAACCCCTTCCTGGTTGTATTTAAAAAAAAAAAAACAAAACAAAAAAAGCAATACCTTTGACTTGAATTCCAAGCTTGTATAACCAGGAAGGGGTTTGGGGGGTTTTTTTCCTCATAAAACACTTGTCTTAAAATAAAGCATAAATGTCTATTGAATCTATTTTCCACACTTTTTTTTTCTTGGTTCCAGGTGTAGTTCCAGGTATTTGATCCAGATAGATCAAATTTAGACTGTGGTGCCTTGATTAGCTGCTAGAACAGCTTTTCATAAATTGTGAAATGACCCATTCTGGTTGGCTTAGGACTTGTTCCCTAAGGTATAGGTCCCTTCAAAAGCAATAATGGATATTGGAAATAAAGTACACATTCTTAACATTTCATAATATACCTTTAGTGTATAGTGTAGTCAGGTTCTCAGATTTCTTACAGCTTTTTCTTTTTGGTCCTTATGCTTTCTAGGGATAATATAACTTCAATGCCCAGAAATGCAGATCAGATTTTTATGGAAAGCTATGGAAATCCAAAAAACTTGTGGATTTTTACCTCCTCCCAACGTGACCTTTCCCAAATATGGATAATGAAGAGTTTTTTAGTTCAGTAATGACTGAAAAATTACTATTTCTACTTAAAATATCTTTGTCAAATGAAGGGACTGCATCATACCTCTGTGGCACAAAGCATGGTTGGGAAGTTACAGGACAAATTAAATTAAAGTGATTATTTTTCAAAGAATGAATTTGCCAGCAGAAACTTTGGTACAAAGCAAGATACAGTATACTCTGTAAAACTTGCAGGGCCTTTTCATACTTACTACATTTGTAATTTGTAATACTTTATCTCTTACACTTATGAAGCTATAGCAAATGAATCAAAAAAACTGTATGGAGCACAGTTCCACCCTGAAGTCAGCCTTACAGTGAATGGAAAAGTGATATTGAAGAATTTCCTTTATGACATTGCTGGATGCAGTGGCACTTTCACAGTAGAAAATAGAGAAGTTCAGTGCATTCAAGAGATTAAAGAGAAAGTGGGTGCATCAAAAGTCCTGGTAAGTACTGTGGCAACATCTGACAACTTCTAACCAAAGAGCAACGCATTTTTGCAGACTGTTCCTTGCAGTTATGCTGTTTAGTTTTAGGTTTGGTTTAGTTTAACAAAATAAAACTAAAATAAAGAGCCATCAGGCTTTTCACGCTTCCATTTATAAAATGGCCAGCTGTTTTTAGAAACAACTATTGCCTTCATATAGTTGCCGTGGTAGATTGTTTGATTCCTCATTTTCCTCAAAATCAGTGGGGCTGGCTTGGTAATTTCTGTATTCCCTCTGTGCTTTTAGTTAGTTTTTTACTCTCCCACTAGATGTCTGGAAAATTTGGAGGTTTTTTTTCTTTGTTTTCTTAATTTAGGTTTTACTCAGTGGTGGTGTGGACTCAACAGTATGTACTGCTCTTCTGAATCGGGCTTTAAACCAAGATCAAGTTATAGCTGTACATATAGATAATGGATTCATGCGCAAGAGAGAGAGTCAGTCTGTGGAGGAGGCCCTTAAAAAGCTTGGAATTCAAGTCAAAGGTACTGCTTTTTGTTTGTTTCCTATCACTGAAAATAGTAAAAATAAAGATATCACAAATGTGGCTGTGGGGGACCCTGGAGACGTAAGTTTCTCCCCATTCTTCTTTTGCTCATCTCGGAGAACAAACCAAGATGCACCCTGGGGCAACCCTTTAATCCCCACAAACCTCGGCTCCATTGCCCATACACTGGACTCCACAACTACTGTAAGGGAATCTTTGCCAGCTCCAGGTAGGGGGTCCCCTTTGGTTGTGGGGGAATTTTTAGGTCCCCCTTTCCATGGAACAGGCTAGCTTGGAATATCACTTGCCCTGAGATCACTGTTTTACCACAGGCAATCAGTAAGGATATAAAACAACATAAGGATTTATTGCACAGGAAAGTCCTGCCAGTATTTTCTGAGCTTTAATCTTTCTGCTGATTTTTTTTTTTACCAGCCCTGACCACTAGGGCCATGGACTCTCCAAAAGCTTGGGATAATCCAGAGACTGGTACCATCTCGGAGAGAGTTCCTAAATACCTCCAAGCCAGCCCCACCTTCCCTTCCCTGTCCCCCTCCTGGCCACACACCCCAAGGCAGACAATACATTGGGTGTCCATCTCAACAACAGCCTCTTCTGCCTGTGTTTGGGAGTGGCTGTTCTTGCCCTAACAACGAAAGGGCAAAAGATACTTAGCAGTTTTGCCTATTCTCTTTACTTTAAGTATTTATGCCTCAGTTTCTTTGAATAAACCATGTCAAAAATCATAAAGATATATACAGACAGTATACAGTAATCCATGCAGGCACGTGACACAAATCACTACAGCAAAGCATTGGCTTTTCAATGAGACTACACATGCTATATCAGTAAAACAATGAAAGAAAATCTGCATGATACCTTCCAAACACCTCAGATTACAGGCTATAAACAGACTTTGTCAAATGAAGTGCATCAGCTATGCCAGGATGTGTCCCAGCATGACTGATCTGCTTCATTGATCCCAGGAGTAGTAGGGGGCTAATCCTGTGTGACAGCGTTTGGTGTGTACCTCTGCAAATGGGGAAACCTGGGCAGGCACTCCCAGGGTGGCTAAAGAGCATGGGTGGCTCCAGGCCTCCCTTATTTTCTCACCTGAAAACAGACCTGCATCTGCCTCAAAATAGTGGCACAAATGTAATACTACATTCTGTTGCAACAGTAAAGGGCACAGATGTCTATTTGCTTTCACTTTGCACCACCATAAACATTTTTATGGAGTCACAAAGGCAACATCTTCATTGTCATGAACACTACTATGGCTGCACTACTTCTCAATTTTATTGGTTGATGTTGACCTATACAAAAATTCTCAATTTTAATTATCATTCGTAGAGAAAAAGGTCTGGACAAGACCTCAGGAAATCATTTATTCCAACCCTGTACTCCTAAATATTCCTTCTATAAACCACCACAGATCTACACTTCAGAACTGGGGAAGCTGCCACTGGCAATCTCGGGAATAAACCACTAAGTGTTTGACTACCCTTAAAATAAGAAAGTTCTTCCTAATATCTGATTTGTCTCAATGTTTCACAGCTAGGATGCTGTGGCATGCTGGGGTGCCCTGAGACCCTTTTAGGGGTGTTACGTGTTATCCATACAATGTTAGCACTGTTGGGTTTGAAAACGTGATTCACAAGGTAAGCCCTGAGATTTCAAATAGGAATCCACAGTGTTAAATATATTCTGACCTGTTGTGGTCTTTCAGAGTTCTTTTTTTTTTTTAACAGAGAAATGCTATATTTTTTTTCTGTAGTCAAAAATCAAGTGAAAAATAAGCTGATGTCTTTGAGGAGTGCATGGAGTCAAAAGGTTGAGAAGCACTACTCTTTCTAACATCAATCCAAAATTAACAGCTTTGAAGACTTGTAATACTATAGAGCTGTACTATTAAGCCTTGAACACATACAAGAAGGCACCCTCTGGGTCCCATGCAGTTTAAAAGCTAAATTTAACCAGATATTAATTCTCATATCGGTGCTCTAAGTGCACGAACGAAGAATGTTTTTGATCTGAGAGATTAAAACACTTCACCGGTGATGGAAATGGGAATGCAGCTACTGAGAACCTATAACAGCTGATATCTGTCTCAGCCATCACTTTTTATTCCCGCTGTAGATTTGTAACTGTTTATCTGAAGCAGATTTTCTTTTTAGAAAGAATGTTGGGTTCTTAGTTCTCTAGCTATGTCTTTAAAAGAAAGGAGACCGGGGACCTAACAATTAAGTTCTAATAACAGATTTATCTTAATTTTTTTGTTTTGTTTTATAGCGGGGATCAGCAACTCCTGGCGCACATGCCAGAGCATGGCATGTGAGGCCATTTTACTCTGCATGCCACTGCCAGCCCAGGCTCTGGGCAGCTGCTGCCAGCCAAGGAGCCCGGGCTACTCCCAGTAGGCAGCTGGGAGGCTGTAAGCCCTGCTGGGAGTAACCTGGGCTCCATTGCTGGCAGCAGCTATCCAGAGCCTGGGCTGGCTGCAAATAGCTTTGCCAGGCTCCATATTGCCACTGCAGCCTTGGAGCAAGTGGGAGTGAGGTGGGCAGCAGCAGTGACACTGGGAGGGGTGGAGCCTCCAGGTCTGGCCCATCCCACCCACTAGCAACAGGCTGGCATTACCCTTACTCTGGAGCCCCAGCATCAGCTCCATATTGCCAGCAGGTGCACATGTGCCTCAGAGTGGATGGCAGGGGAGGGTGCAGGGTTGCGCTTCCTTCAGGCTCTCCCCTGCCATCTGCTCCGAGGTGCACGTGCACCTACTGGCGATTTTTATGGAGCATATGCATGTATGAGCTGAATGTTTCATCCACCCCTCCCAGTGTTGCTGCTGCTGCCTGCCCCTGCTGATAACTGCACCTTTTGCAGGCTTAGCTGTGTGTGTGTGGGGGGGGGAGGGCTAAGGTGAATTTTGGGGTGGATCATTCCTATCCAAGTCATCCTGTACAGCTCTATTCTCTAACTGCTTATCACTTGTGTAGTTTAGCTGTTCTTCCTTGGCCAGTAAGGTCTTGGCTTGTTTATCTCTGAGGTTTAAGGGGTCTGGAGACAACAAATGGTACATGTAGTTAACCAGTATAATTTTATTTCCTACAGTTCACATAAATCATGTAATTTACAAGTAACTTCTGCCTATTGATAATCTGCTAACGAGTACTGCTGTGTCTAATGACTTCTTATGCTTCATTTGTTAAGGCTCTGGAAATGTAGGGTGTTCAGGCACATTCAGTTAAACAGCCAAAATCAAGCTATGCAAAGATCTGCCTTTGCACCTTTTCAGCATATCAAACAAAAACCTAAAGCTGTATAGTTTAAGTATGTATGTAATGTGGACATATGAGCTGAATGTTTCATTCAAACTTGTGGTTTGTGCCATGCTCTGCGAGCCAAACCGTGCTCTGACAGGTTCTTGGAGGGGCTAAATTCCACAGCCAACAGAGGCCATTTATGGAAATTATACTGGCATCACACCTAAATTCAGTGCTAGGGACTGTCATTACAAGTTCCTTAGGTGATCTCTGTATTGACGTTGAAACTGGCTAATTTAGAATATTTTTTCAAGAAATATAGTGTGCTAGAAACATAAAGAAGATTATTTAATTCAGACTAATGAAAAAGAATTGGGTGAAATTAGGACTTCAAAACATATGTATATAAATGAAGGAAAGAAATTTTAATCTCTGGAAAATATTAGGCTTGATAATAGGGTGAAAGTTCTTCAACAGTATGCAGTTGTACAACAGAATAGATTAAAATAGAAGTGGATAAAAAGCACTAGCTTGAAATTATTTTCCCAGTCCTGTTCAGAAGTCTCTCAACATATTTTTCTCTTTCTTGGCAGTGGTAAATGCAGCTCATTCATTCTACAATGGTACAACAACTCTGCCAATCTCTGATGAAGACCGAACTCCGCGAAAAAGAATTAGTAAGACTTTAAATATGACAACAAGTCCTGAGGAAAAAAGAAAAATTATTGGTGACACCTTTGTGAAGGTAATAGTTTTTAGAATTATTTTAGCTTATCCCTCAAGCTTTTACACATTTTTCTTTGTATTCTACTTCCCATTGTTTGAAATGCCCTTTTAGGAAAATTGCCAGTTTGAGGCACCGTACACTCACTGACATTAGTGGTCATGTCATATACATTGTTGCAGTGTAGATATCTTAGAAGTAGTAAAGTTACAATTTAGGCTTTGCTCTAACATCCATCCCCTAATACAGTGCTTCCCAAACTTTTGCTCAGCATTACCCTATTTATGACACCATCTGCTGATGTTGTGACTCCATTTGGGATCACAACCCACAGTTTGGGAACCACTGCTCTAATACAGCCTGCCAGAATGCTTTGTAATACTGAAGTTTGCAGCTGTTCCACTATGAGCAGTGGCTGAGCTTCAGAAAGTATAGGCCTGATTTGGCTTAAACTGGTGACCAAGGTCCAGCCTGCAGGTCAGATATGCTGCTCCACAGGTCACATCTGGCTCTCGGATCCAAAAATTTGATGGTAGCATGTGTAACTGAAGTGTTGATTTGCAGTGGCTCTGAGCTGTGAGCACCCCTGCAGGCTAAGTGGTGCATGTGCTGGGTTGAGTCCACAGACTGACCCTGTGCCACTTGTCTGCTGAGTGAAGAGTTTCTTCTTCTAAGCTTTGCTAAAGCCCTGACAGACAAAAGCAGGGCTGCATTTTTATTTATTTATTTATTTTTAAAGCATAAGTGTTCATCATGAACAAACCTGTTGATGTGATGGAAAGGGGACTGCAGTTTGTTGGTCTTGTAGGTACTGCATTAACTTGCATGACGTGCACCTTTTTTCCCCCAAATCAGTAGAGGTACACCAATACATTAGACTATATCGTATCGGAAACGATAAAAGGAAAATTTACATTACTAGCAATCGGCTTTTTTTGGGAGGGAGTGGAGCTGGGGCAGGGGCTGCACAGGTGGAGCAGGGTACAGGATGGAGCTGCAGGTGGCTCATCCAGAGAAGTGGGGATTGACTCCTGCTGCTGTGCAAACCCCTGGGGGAGGCATGTGCCCCCCCAGATCTGTGCATGGGGCAAGGGTGGGCT